TCAGTCTCACACTATGCAAAAATGCAGTTCACATAAAGGGCCCAAAGATCTAGAATTCACTACCTGAACCAGTAAAGGATCCCCTGGCTACATATAAATTTTAGGACTTTGCTTAAAAATCATTTTATCTCTCAATACTAACCAAACTAACCAAAACAACTTCTAATCAGTTTGAAGCAACTCTCCCATATATTATGTGACCTCTAGACTATTAAACTTCTGCTAATCCATGAAATATTACTGTTTGAACCATTAATTGTAATATTGTTTTCATTATGTGCAACTTCAAGATTATTATTCTTATAAACCTCCACCTTGACTACCTCACATTAGTATTAAGATTAAATAAAGATTTTAATACAAGCTAACCACTCTTATCTTGTCTAGATTTAAGTAGTTATTATGTACTAGGATCAGTCTGCCCGAAATGCCCCAGCATGATAGTGACTTTCTTTGTACTTAGCAAACCAAAATTGTAATTACACAATGTAACCTTTACAAAGAAAGTAAATCTTTATTTTTATCTTTATCATGTGTGCTTAACACAATCTAAGTAGAAACTCCATGCAAATTAAATATAAAAACTATACAACAATAATCAAACAAAATAAGTCAAATAGCACTGCCTAAACACAAAGTACTGTATTACAGGTAATACATCATACCTATTAATATGTAATCATGAAGTATATTGCATTTATTATATGTAGTACACATCTGACAAAAAATTCAAAGCAAATAACAATATCAAGCTCCAGCATGCTACATCAAAATAGCCACAGGAATAATAGGAAGTATTTCTTTAATAGGAAGAAATATGTGGAATGAGTTGTGCAATAATACACTGGAAGTGAATCCCATACAGGGAATCAAAAACAGACATGACAAGCCTCAATCATGCCAGTTAGTTGAAAGGTAAGGGGCATGACTAAGAACTGGAGCTCTCCTTTTGCAAACTGATAGGTACAGTAATTATATAAGCTTGTCTTAGTTTTTGTCCTAAATCAAACTCCATGTTAACTATCTCAATCATCTGTTAAACCATGCTCCATTTTAAATTTGTTCCACACGCTGTCTCACTTTCCTTCCAAATCTATTAAAACATCTATTCTGCATGTATTAGTTACATATTGTATGTCATTTACTTGTGACTGATTTTAAGGGCTTTTCCACCCTTGTAATCCAACCTCAGGCCTGGCTTCCTTGTTGATTGCCCATTCAACCATGATGTTGCTGTTAACAGCCTGGCACTTGGCAGAGGTAATGATCCAGTCTTCTACTGATTACCTCTACATTTGTTCCAGCAATATTTCTGATACCTGCTGTAGCAAACTGAATAGTCGAGACCCATGGATATTGATATAGTGGTCTCATATTGTGCCTACAGCGAGATTCTAATATTAGAGGGAGCAAACACACACAAAAAAGATGCCACTTATTCCATTAAAAGAAGCCACTCATTTACTTAAAGCACTATTCATTACCTTAAACAATGCTTATTTTATAGCAACTTTCTGTATGGAGAGCCAAAATTCACGGCAAGCCAGTGCTAAAACTAGCAGGCTAAGGTGCTATCCACTGGATAGTACTGGCCTGTTTGACCCCTCCTTATGGTGAGTTTTGTACAATCACGTCATTAAGATTTATCATGTTATATTATGGCACTCACTGCTGTTTAGTGGTTTATATGCCCCAGTTTGAAACTACTCAAGAAATCCAAATTAACTCAAGATTGCTAAATCAGTTTTAAGAATTAAATACACACTAATGTAAATTGTACTAATTATAATATATTTTGCTGCCTCTCTACTATAAATTTTAAATTCTTTATTTTAAAACATAATGACAACTACATGTTAAAAATTCTATTAACCTGTCGGTTTTCTAAACAATTCATTCAAACATGAATTTGGCTTATATTCAGGCAGTGGTAAGGATTAGTCGATTTCAACAGTTTTGTGATGTTTGACAGCACTGGAATATAAATTTGACATATAGCTCATAGTTGAAGTATTCCAAGTATTCCAATATACAGGCATGCCTCATTAATATGGTGTTTGTTTTATGGTGCTTCGCTAATACAATGCTCGCTTTAGAATGCTTCACTAACACGGTGCTCGCTTTAGAGTGCTTGGCTAATACATATAGCACTCTTCAATTTTATTCATGCTTATTATTTTCGGAGCTTGTCATGCTCTTAACCCTTTGACTGTTTCGGTCGTATATATACGTCTTACGAGCCACAGTGTTTGACATATATATACTCATAAATTCTAGCGGCTTCAAATCAAGCAGAAGAAAGCTAGTAGGCCCACATGTGAGAGAATGGGTCTGTGTGGTCAGTGTGCACCATATAAAAAAAATCCTGCAGCACGCAGTGCATAATGAGAAAAAAAACTCCAACCGTTTTTTAATTAAAATGCCAAATTTGTGGTCTATTTTCATATAGTATTTATTGTTGTATTCTCATTTTCTTGGTCTCATTTGATAGAATGGAAAACATATTATAGAAACAGAGGTGATTTTGATTGGTTTTTTGGTATGAAAAGAACCTTGAAATGGAGCTCAAAGTAAGGGAAATGTTTGATTTTTGCCGATGTTCAAAAGTAAACAAATGATGTCATTTTCCAATAAATGTCCAAGTAGCCATTCTAATATGCAGTCATGAATGGGTTGACATTATTTATACAATTATTACAATATTGCAGTAGTCTGCATAACAGCCTGGAGACATGACTGATGAACAAAGAAAATGCTATTTTAGAGCCAGGAATGTCTGCATTGCTCATCCTGGACCCTATTTTGAAATTGTCATATTTTTTTAATTTTCGTGAAATTGGCCAAATTGCAAATTTCTGACCACATTATTGGGTAGTTGAAATCGGTAAATGGGCAGTTTCTTGTACTCAATCGATAGAAAAAAATGGAGCTCTAAAGAAACAGAAATGAGTTTGGTCGACTGAAACAATGGAAATAGCCAAAAATAGGGCTCAAAGTGAGCGAAATCGCCAATTCGTAAATATCACCAAGGTCGGTAACTTTGCGAGAGCATAATTCCATCAGTTTTCCATCAGATTTCATTCTTTTGGTGTCATTACAATCAGGAAAAGATTCTCTATCATTTCATAAGAAAAAATAACTGGGGGGGGGGAAGATTCTGCGACACCAGGAGACACCTCAGGATTTCGGGTTGCAACAGTCAAGGGGTTAAGATGGTTTGTGAAACAAAGACTGTGATTCACTTTAAGGCAATATTCACTTTATTGTGGCTGTCTAGAACTGTATTGGTACATTTCAAATATAAATTAGCCAAATACTGTGCTTCCTTTTGTGGCAATTGGAAATAGTTGATTGCTTTATAAGGCAATTTTTGGTGTTGCAAATATCCATGTAAATTAGTTTAGAAATGTGTAATTTCCCTACAGCTGAAGGTAAAAGACATGTATGTACTGATCAGAACATTTATTAAGGACATGTTTTGCCATGAGTGGCTTCTTCAGTCCTTCATTAATGCTTTATGAGACTAAAGAAACAACTCATGGCAGAATATTAATTAATAAATATCTTGATCAGTGCATATATGTCTTTTACTTACAACTTGCAAGACTATTATTGGAGCATTCTTCTAGATGTCAACCTTCTCATGACAGCTCTATCAATTTTGCACTCTACAACTGATCAAAATCTCCAGACATATTTGCTAAATGCTTCAAAATGTGTATGAAATTAGGAAGGCTACAACAGCTGAAAAAGGCAAGGATAAAAAAAAGACTTGAAGCTTTGAGTGTTAGGACCATGACCATCCAACAGGCTTGTTTGAATGTGTTAGATCGGATTGAGTGAAGACAGGTGGTTTTTAATGAAAGTGCTGTTGGAACGTGAGCAGGGTAACATTTATGAAGGGATTCAGGGAAGACAGTTAGCTCAGCTTGAGTCATGGAGGTGAGAAGAGAGGTGCCTGCATTCTGAAGGAGACGTGAGGATGTTGCAGTTGGAGGATCATCTGAAATGTGTTGTTAGCACAATTCTGGCAAGACAGTGACTGAATAAAGTATATGTCTCCTACCTTGCTGAAAGACAACCAATGAGATAAAAAAAAATGTTTCAAGTTATTGTAGAAACATTTTCAAGATATTATCCGGAAACTGAGCAACAGAAAAAACCAAACAGGGCAAAAGGGATACGTAATAAGCTGAAAGCAACTTTTAAAAAGACTCAAATACTCTTCTAAAGTTTTTGCTATTTTTTCACATCACTCTTCTTAAAGTTTCTAACATCTGGGAATGATGCTGCCACTGTCAAAGTTGTGGACTTATTTTGGATGACAGGCAGAAGTGATAGTAATACTCATAGCCAAATTTAGCCATTGTCTTCAAAACAGACTTCAAGACAAAAGTAAATATTTGTTGTCCATAAAAACTTTTTCTCACTGTAGTTTTGAGTCATGTTAAAATATGAGAGCTTGGCTGAGCTACTTACAGAAACAAATATGCTTACACTACTGTAACAAATAATCTTGGAAAAGGAATAATTTGCCCATACTGCTTAATAAAATGCTATGCAGATTATGGATATCAGATTACATGTCACTCAGCTGTTAATGAAACACAGTAAAACAAATATAAAGACAGCAATCACAATCACGAGAGATTTTCAACATACCAAAATACAATATACTCCTACCATGAGGAAGCCTTTTCAAATATGAAGATCTATCCAATTTTCTTGTGCTTCTCTTAACTTCATCTAATGAGAGTTGATAACTTCTTTGTATGTTTAGTTAAATAAGGGCACAATGATATGTTACATTCTGTGTGATTGCTGAGATGTACTTCTAAAGCCAGAAAAAAAGAAGTTAACATTTAGTATAATGCTAAAATATTGTTTCTGACATTTCTCTTTTCCTATACTACTATCAAACACTTTGCATGATGAAATTCTCTATATTGCTTCTTCCAATCAATACATAAAAATATGCGAACATTATGTTCAAGAAATACCTCAACTTAACAGCCACATTCATTGCTGCCGAGTGTGAAGATATAGGAAGGTGCGACTTCTGAGGATAGTGTTTATCTGCAGAAGTTTCGCGCTTTGAATTCTTGACTCTTTCATAAACGTGGTTCTGTTGGAGCCCAGAGGCCCTCTGGGACCCGTTTACTTGGGAAACTTCAGCTCCTGAAGATCCAGCTTTTTGATCATTTATTAACTCATTTTCCCTGTGAAGTAAATACATTCAAAAGCATCAGTTATAGATGGATGGACAGACTGAATCTGGATTCAATTTCTCAAGCCTTTTTCAGGCAAAATATAAATAACCTTTGGAACTAAATGTTTAACAACAAGTACATGTATCAACAGAACTCACATTCAAAAGATGCTCAACTAATATCCATTGTAATTTGGCTATGCTCAAAAACTCACACTCAATGCAATGTACTTTTTGAAAAATAAAAGATCATAATTTTTATACAGTACTGGATGTTATATGCTAATACCATATAATCACCCTCTGATCATTTTCTCTACTTGACATTTCCAAGATTTCATCATACATCTAATTTCACTTTTGACTTTTTTACCTCAACAACTCTATCCCACCAAGGCAGGACAACACAAAGAAACACATTCACTATCATTCATTCATTCACTGTCTTGCAAGGAGTGTGCTTACATTGTAACTCAGATTACCCTCAGACTGCAGCATCCCACTCCTCTCTGAGAGTGCAGACACTGCCTTTCTCTCTTCCATGACACAAGTCCAGCTAACCAGTTTTCCCAAATCCCTTCAATAATGTTATCCTGCTCACACTCCAACAACACATACATTAAATAAAATGATCTCCATTCACCCCTATCTAACAAACTTACATAAGCCTGTTGGATGCTCAAGCCCCTGAAACTCAAAGCCTAACTTTAGTAATCTACCTCATATTCTGTACAATTGCAGCATCTGCTACATGGCTTCCCTATCCACCCTATCATATGCCTTTTTTAAATCCTTCAATGCAACAAACAACTCTTTACCCTTATCTTAGTACTGCTTACTTATGTGCTGCAATGCAAACACTTCATAAATTCTCCCTGCTCCTCTGCAATCCTACTTTCTGTCTTACCATTAACCTTTCTAATACTAATTCTAACATCAACTTTACCCAGTATATTCAACAAGCTTATTCCCCCCATGATTCTTACATTCCTTTTTGTCCCCTTTTTTCCCTTATACAAGGGAACTATGCATGCTCTCTACCAAACCTTTGATGCCTTCCTTTCTTTCATTCTATACTGCATGAATACATCAACTACTCCATCACTGTATCCCCACCTGCTTTTCACATCTCTGTCTTAATCTAATCTATCCCAGCTGCTTTAACCCCTTTCATTCTATTCACTGCTTCTCACACTCTTCACATGCACCTGAAGCATCTCCTCACTCTTATATATGATGTTATTCTCCCTGACCAATGTGTGAAAACACTACCTCCCCTACATCTTTAATATTTGACAACTCGTCAAAATATCCTCTTTATCTCTGCAGTACCCACAACTTCCCATCTAATATAACCTCTCTTTATTTTTAACTACAAAACCAATTTGCTCTTCAGGCATCATCACTTTGTTGATCTCTCTTCAAAACAGTTTCTTATCCTTAGTAAAGTTGCCGATAAAAACTTGTTCATTCTCTCATTGACTCTCCTACTATACAGCCTCTCCTCACTTAACCCATTGACTGTTTCGGCCATATATATATGTCTTACGAGCCAGTGTTTCAGACGTATGTATACTCAATAATTCTAGCAGCTTCAAAACAAGCAGGAGAAAGCTGGTAGGCCCACATGTGAGAGAATGGGTCTGTGTAGTCAGTGAGCACTGTATAAAAAATCCTGCAGCACGCAGTGCATAATGAGAGAAAAAACTCCGACCATGTTTTTTGATTACAACGCCAACTTTGAGGTGTATTTTCCTATATTATTTATGGTTGTATTCTCGTTTTCTTGGTCTAATTTGATAAAATGGAAAACATATTACAGAAGTAGAGATGATTTTGATTAGTTTCACAATGAAAACGACCTTGAAATTGAGCTCAAAGTAGCGGAAATGTTCAATTTTTACCAATGTTCAGGAGTAAGCAAATCACACCACACGTCCAATACACATCAACTGTGGAGTCTAATATTCTTTCACTAATGCACTGATATTATTTATACCATTTTTACAATAATGCAATAGTCTGTATAACAGTAAATCTTCTAATTTTTGTGTGAATAAAAAAATCAAAATAGATAGCAAGAGTAACATAAGAGGGGCCTGGAGATGTGACTAATGAACAGAGGATATGTTATTTTAGTTCCAAGAATGTCTGCATTGCTTATTCTGGACCCTATTTTGAAATTGGCATCTTTTTTTGAGTGAAATTGGCCAAATTGCCAATTTCTGACCACTTTATTGGGTAGATGAAATTGGTAAATGGGCAGTTTCTTGTACTCAATTGATAGAAAAAATGGAGTTCTAAAGAAATAGCCGAGTTTGGTCGACTGGAACAATGGAATTGGCCGAAAATAGGGCTCAAAGTTGGCAAAATCGCCGATGCGTATATATCGCCGAGATTGCTATCTTCGCGGGAGAGTAATTCCGTAAGTTTTTGATCAAATTTCATACTTTTAGTGTCATTACCACCAGGAAAAGATTCTCTATCATTTCATTAGAATTTTTTTTTTTTTCCAAAAATTTTTAATTTTTTTCGACACCAGGACACACTTCAGAATTTGGGGTTGCAACAGTCAAAGGGTTAATGACGGAGTTCCATTCCTAAGACCTCATCAGTAAAGGAATTCGTTACTAAGTGAGGAGCATACTATAATGGTAGTGGGTTTGTGTCAATCATCTTTGGTACTGTTTTAACCCTTTCACTGTCGCGGCCATATATATACGTCTTACGAGGTACCATGTTTGACGTATATATACTCATAAATTCTAGCGGCTTCAAATCAAGCAGGAGAAAGCTGGTAGGCCCACATGTGAGAGAATGGGTCTGTGTGGTCAGTGTGCACCATATAAAAAAAATCCTGGAGCACGCAGTGCATAATGAGAAAAAAAAAAACTCCTGTTTTTTTTTTAATTAAAATGCAGACTTTGTGGTCTATTCGTATGTATTTATGGGTTGTATTCTCGTTTTCTGGTCTCATTTGATAGAATGGAAAACATATTATAGAAATGGAGGTGATTTTGATTTCATTTTACTATAAAAAGAACCTAGAAATGGAGCTCAAAGTAGGGAATTGTTTGAATTTTTGCTCAATGTTCAAAGTTAAACAAATGATGCCCTTGTCCAATAAATGTCCCAACTAGCCATTCTAATATCAGTCATGAATGGGTTGATGTTATTTATAACAATTATACTGTATTGCAGTATCTGCATAAAGTAAGTCTTCTATTTTTTGTTTGAATTAAAAATCAAAATAGAAAGCAAGAGTAATATCAGAGGGGCCTGGAGACGTGGACTGATGAACAAGAAAATTTATTTTAGAGCCAGGAATGTCGCATTGTTCTATTCTGAACCTTATTTTGAATTGCATATTTTTTAGTTTCGTTAAAATGGCCAAATTGGCAAATTTCTGACCACATTATTAGGTAGTTGAAATCGGTAAATGGGCAGTTTCTTGTAACCAATCGATAGAAAAAATGGGAGTTCTAAAGTAATAGCTATGAGATTGTGCGACAGGGAACAAGGAAAATAGCCGAAAATAGGGCCAAAGTGGGCGAAATCGCCGGATTTTGTAAACCGCTGAGGTCGCTAACTTGGGTGCAAGAGTGCATAATTCCGTCAGTTTTCCATCAAATTTCGTTTTTTTGGTGTCATTACAATCGGGAAAAGATTCTCTATCATTTCATAAGAAAAAATAATTTTTTTTTTTTTAATTTTGCGACACCAGGAGACACCTCAGGATTGGGGGTTGCGACAGTCAAAGGGTTAATGTCACCTTTGCACCATTTATAACATTTCTGGTATATTTTTAGATTTTTATAAAACAGTGTACTGTATATTGTAATAAACATAATAGAGGAAATCATCTCTAATATACATTATTTAGGTATGCATACTGGTCAGAGAACCCGTTGTAAGTCCAAGTCATCAGTAAACGAGGAGAGGTCGTACTCTTTTATTACTCTTATAACCACCTCTTTCCCTCCATATATGCTAATTTCTTCTACCTTACTACCCTCTTTATCTCATTCCACCAATCGTCTCTTACCACCCACACCCACCCTCCTAAGATCATTAATGACTGCCGCTCACTCTAGCAATTCATTCTTAAATTTACCTGATACTTTCTTATTTCCGAGCTTTGCTATCCCACCTTTGCTCCTCAGGAGCTGTTTTACATCTTTCTAGAGCTATATCCTTGATTATTTCATTTACTTTCACTTCTCTCTTGCCCAATGCTGTCAGTCTTCTTTCACTCCATCTACTCCTTACTTTTACTATGGCTACCACTAAATAACGATCTGACATCTTCATTGCTCCTCTCAAAATATGCATACATAAGTCACTAATTTAACCTCTTGTCCTACAAATATACAGTCCCTACACTGCATCATTAGGCTATATATTACATTTCATTTCCTTGTTTAGCTTCATACCTCAATTTGTTAAGCTTCTTTTCAGCTCAATTACAGGTCCCTGTTATCATTTACCTCTGGTACCCAAGCTTAACCTACTTACACCATCTACAGCAGTCTCCTCCATAGCATTAATTCTTTACATGGTTCAAAACATCCCCCTAAACATTTACTTAACTCCTCCCTATATATATATATATATATATATATATATATATATATATATATATATATATATATATATAATATATATTATATTATATATAATATATATAGTAATATATTATATATATATTAATATATATATTATATATATAATATAAAATTATATAATATATATATATATATAATATATATATAATATATATATATATATATATATATATATATATATAATATATATAATATTATATATATATATATATATAATATATATATGATAAGATCACAGTAAACAGGTAATTTCAAATATGCAAAAACAGCCACTCATGAAAGAATAGAGAAATTCAAGCGCTTTCGTGACTACTCACATTACAAGGAACTTGATAATGTGAGTAGTCACGAAAGCGCTTGGAATTTCTCTATTCTTTCAGAGTGG